ATGGCGGCAGAGTCATGCTCGCTCAGTGTGGCGGTGGACAGGCATTTGTACATCCGCCTGATTGCAGACATGATGTTGCATGGCGTTTTCAAAGTTGGCCATGACTGGCGTGAGAAGCTTCGCGTTGGCGGTGGCATCGTGACCGATGCGAAGTCTCTCTTCGATCATCTTGGAGCAACTGGTCAAATTCCGGCTGAAAGACAAACCATGTTAGATCTGCTTGTCGCGAAGGACCTCTTGGAGCAGCAGATTTACAGGTTGTTTTGGGTACCTACCCATCGACAGCACGCGGACGGTCTCACGAAGGCCATGAAGAATGTGCTTTGGGAGGAGTACCTACGGAAGAAAACCATAAGCCTCAAGGAGACGCCAGAAGAACGCGAGATTGAAGAGCACCGCAAGCAGCTAAGAAAGGGACAACGAGAACGTCGGAAAGTCCGGTCAAAGCAGATGACGACTTCGACCTCAACCACTTCATGGCAGAGCCAGCAGAAAGCTACATGGCAGAGCAAAAAATAGAAATCCTGGCAGCGCCAGTGCAATCCTTTTTGGCTGAGCCATCTCAAAAATGCGGATTTGGCTGCGCCAGATCCCTAATTCAGCAAATCCGAACAAGCCAACATCCTTCCTTCCCAATGTGGAAGATGACCCTTGCCGGTGATTGGTGGCATGTTCGGTTCCGCTTGTTAGCTTGATCAAGCCTTGCTGGAAAAAGCAGCGCTTTTTGCATTTAGCTTTTACTTAGAGCCCAATTCATCTCCGCAGAAAGAGCGTCGGAGAAAAGAGTTGAGCAAAGCATTCCATCAAATCCAGGTCCAGGACCGCAGAACCTGGATAGCGCTCAGAGAAATTATAGTTTTGCAGAGCAGGCAGCAACACACCAATTCCAAGACACAGTGCTCTTCGAACCGTGGGGTGGTAATTTTGGAGCTTGAGTTTCGACAAACACTCAACTTGGTTGTTTCTATTTGCAAGTACCAACATCAGCAGTGCAGATCTTACCTTGTTGAAAACCCTGTGGGCAGTCGAGCATGGGTATATGATTCAATCTTGGCGCGTTTGTTGACAGAAGAGCTTGGCGGCAAATTTGTTGTTGGTGACCAATGCAGGTATGGCAAGGTTGACCAGGAAAGCGGACGACCTATCGTGAAACCTACAGGTTGGCTTTCAAACAATGAAGCAGTTTTGAATGCCTTGGGTCGTCGTTGCAATTGCAAATTTGGAGCCCATCAACCCGTGGTCGGATCCAACAAGTTTGGCAAGCGATCAGCTCAGGCTGCTGCTTACCCTCGCGGCATCTGTTCGGCCATTTGTGAGGCCGTTTTGAAGTCGATGATCTTGGATTATGCAGCATATGCACCAGAAGAGTTGAGCTATCCAGCCATGGATGTGGATGAGGAAATGCCCCATGAACCTGAAGTTGAGGTCATTGGGGACGAATCCACCATGGACTATTGGGAGTTGCAGCCAGAAGCAATGATTAGGCACCATGTTTTCCCTCGCAAAGCATTGTTTTCTCCCATGAGTGTTGAGGAATTGCCTTGTGACTTCCGTCTTTTGCCCTCCAGGATCACTCGAATGCAGTTTGAGGATGGTTCAGAGCGAGAGCATGCAGATGAGTGGACCAGCCCGGATGATCCTTTTCGCAGAGGCTCAATGTCCGGGTTGGGGACAACTGAAATAAAGCTGCTACCTCCCGAAGCTGAGGATGAGAACATGCCTGATGCCGCGCCGGAGACTCCGGCGCCCTTCACTTCTGCAGCGCCTTCAACACCCGGAGAGTCCGGGAGGCAGTGGCGCTTTGAGGAGGAAGAGGCCGAACTCGACAGTTGCAGCGAGGGTTTTGGCATCAGGTGGTTTCAGTTGATTTCAATCATTGTTGGAAAGGACCCGTGATTGGTTGGTTGACAACGGTGCAGATTGGCAGATACTCCCACTTGGAGAGGACTTAGGCCATGATTGGTTGGTGCATGAATCAGCAAACGCAGAGTTGCAACTTGTTTTGGTATCTTCAAATGCCCGGAAGTTGAGGAAGCCACAACCTTTTCTTTCACCGGCAGAGGCACCATTGAGGAAGGCAAACTTGTTGTTGAGAAACCGTCTTTGTTTGAGCACCGCTTGGGAAGATTGGGCACAGTTAGCGCCTACATCACAAACCCGTCCGCTTGTAGCACAGCAGCGACAGCTTTGTGTTATTTGTTTTGGCAAGCCTCTTGGCGAAGACGCTCATGAAGAGCCGCAATCAGACCCCAGAGCTGGCGAGCGAGAACGCTTGAGGGAGCAGCGATGGCAATCACTTCCGAGGGAACTGAAATTGGCCATCAAGAGAGTTCATGTGAATCTTGGACATGCGCCAGCTATGTTGAAGGCCCTTCGTGTGAGCAGAGCTTCAGAGGTGGCGATCCGTGCTTGCAGATTATTTCGCTGCGTGGATTGTCCAAGAGTTCAGTTGCCAAAGAAGCCAAGGCCTAGCAAGCTTCCGCTCTCGGAAGAGTTTAGTACGCATGTGGGCATTGATGTTTTGCAAGCAAGAGACGCAGATGGACACACTTGGTCATGGTTGAACATTCTACGCCAAGGTACGACATTTCAGATTTGCGTTCTTTTGGAGGACACAAGTTTCAATCCCACTTCGGAGGCGGTTTTGCGTGCTTTTGAGCTTGACTGGACAAGTTGGGCAGGTTGCCCCGAGTATGGAGTTAGTGACAGAGCAAAGTATTTCATTACAGAGTTTTCACAAGCCATGGAAGCAGCAGGTTGTGATTTTGATTGTGCAGCTCGAGCATCCCCGTGTCAGGTCGAAAGGCATGGCCATATCTGGAAGTCAATCCTCAAGAGGGTCATCTGGTGCGAACAACTGGCTGGAAAAGACCAAATGTTTCATGCAACAAGTGCAGTCAACAGTGCAAAGAACAATTTGGTCAGAAAGTCAGGTTTCAGCCCGGCACAATGGGTACTTGGAAAGTCAATTCGATTGCCCACAGACCTCACCGAGGATTCAGAAGCCGTCCGCTTGGGGGCACTTTCATTGTCGATGAATCCTTCCAACCAGTTCTACCTCAAGACGAAACTTAGGTTTGCAGCAAGAGAAGCATTCATGCAGGTCAGCAACTCAGAGGCCTTGAAACGAGCTGAGCAGAAAGGTGAAGCCAAGTCGAGGACCTTTTGATGTTGGGCGATATGTCTTTTACTTTGATGCCTCGGACACCGTTCCCGGACCAGCGTGTTGGAGGGGTGTCGCGAGAGTCATCGGCAAGGAAGGGACTCACACTGTTTGGATTGCACACCGGGGCATCATTCTTGCAGTTTCGCCAGAGCATCTAGCGTTTGCTGACGACCACGAAGTGCAGAACTGGAACATTGTTGGTTCAGAAGTTGAGCTCTTAGATACACAACCAGCAGCCGGAGGCAATGTATTTGTTGATCTCAGACAGCAACCCAAACCTCCTAGAGGTGGATACGAGCCCGATGAGGAGGAACTTGAGGATTTGCCAGCGCCCGTGCGGGATCAAACAATGATTAATGCCTTCAGCAGAAATCGATGAGCAATATGAGCCTTCAGTTTTGGAAGATCAACCTGAGGCGCCCAATGTCTCAGACACTCCTGTGTTGCCAGAGGCCGAACCAGCGGCCGGCTCAGAGGATCTGTCATCAGATTCTTGTCGATGGCACGCGTGAAATATGAGAGTGAGAGAGACGCAAAGAGGGCAGTGAAATCATCCGAATTCTTGGCCAAGAAGCGTGAAGAACGTCTTCAGCGTCAAGAAGCTCGCAGACAGCAATATTTGCAGTCGGAAGCAGCGAGACAGTTTGAGGCAGCCAATACTCCAATTCCTCGTGCAGAGTTTGATCCGGAGATCGATGATTATCATCAATCCGGGCCGTCACCTAAACGGCTACCTTCGATCTCGGAGGACCCAAACACAGAGGGCAGGAGCGAGAGAGCAAGCGTTTACGGAACATTGCAGGGGAACCAGCTGAACCCCCTAGCAGTGGGTTGTTTGCGTATGTGGTTGTTGAACAAACAGGTCATTTGATTTCCGAAGCTCGTAGACACATTTATGCGCATGAGTCCTTTTATTTGGAACACGATGTTGACATTGGTGTTTTTGAGTTGGGCGTCAAGCGAAATGACTTTGAATCTCGCTATTGCGACATGTATGATTTTGCAATGGGAGCCACTCCTGGCACCGCAGCCGGTAAGAAGAAGGGACGCAAAGAACTTTTCTTGCGTCCAAGGACATTCAGGAGCAGTTCACAGGTCCTCAAGGTGCAGATGCTAACGAGTGGCGAGCTTGGCAGGAGAAAGAAGCGGTGGACGTTCTCAGCTTGGAAGAAAGCAGATCCGTTCGTGAACGCTGTCCGGAACTCATCATCCCAACACGATGGGTCAGGACAAACAAAGCCGAAGGAATGCCAGGGCAGCCATTTCTTGCCAAGTGCCGATTAGTTGTTCAGGGGTTCAAAGATAGATCACTTGGATATTTTCGGCGGGGCGCACCAACAGCCAGTTCACTTGCAGAGAGCATTTGTTTTGCAGTAGCAGCCTACATAGGATTCACCATGGTTTGCAAAGCTGTGAAGAATGCTTATTGTAGTGGACGATCCCTTGAAAGAGAGATTTACTTGGAGCAGCCCCGAGGCGGCCTTGGAACCCTTCACAAGGGACAGTTGTTGCGTGCAAAGAAGGCAATTTATGGTTCAGCGAGGCAGCGCGCCTATTCTGGATTGCTCTCAAAGGTCACTTGAAAAGCGACGGTTGGGTTCAGAGCAGACTTGAGCCCGCTTTGTTTTTCTTGCGTGATGGACCTCAACATCACTTGAAGGGAATTCTTGTAACTCATGTGGATGACATTGAAGGTGGAGTTCATCCAGAGTTTGTTGAGCAAGCATTTCATCGCAGCAGCAAAGCACTTGAGTTTGCCACCAATCATGATAGAGAGTTTGTTTTCAGAGGGCATGAAGTCAAGCAACGTGCAGAAGGGCACATAGACATTTGCATGCGCAATTATGCTTTGAGCGCAAAAGGTACTCACATTAGCAAGGTTCGCAGAGCACAGCTTGAAAGCAGTTTGACGGAGGAGGAGTTTCAGACCTTTCAGTCAAGAGCTGGGGAACTTGGATGGCTAGCACGCCAACTCAGGTGCGACCGTGTTTATGAGAACGGCGTCGTCCAGAGAGCCAAAGGTGACGCTTGTGTGGGTGACCTTGGTCGCTTGAAGCAGTATTTGGCCCAGGCCAAACGTGGCGCAGACTTTCGACTTAGGTACTGGTCGGACGTAAACCTTCGAGAAGCAGTCTTGATTTTGCTAGCCGACCCTGGGCACGCCAGTGGCACTCCAGAGAGAGACGAGATCATGCGCTACCGTTCAGTCGGTGGATATTTTGTCTTGGTAGGAAATAAGGAGATCCTCGAAGACAAGCCTGCAAGAGCCAATGTTTTGACCTTTTACAGTGGCCAAACAAAACGCGTGTGTCGCTCTACCTTAGCTGCAGAGGCATCACACCTTGCAGAAGCAGTCGAGTGTGGCGACTGGTGCGCATGTTTGTTGGAGGAGGCATTGACAGGTGATTCGAACTTGAAAGACTGGCCCAGCGTCATCCAGAGAAGAGTTCGTGTGTATGTCACCGACGCAAGATCTGTTTATGATTATTTGCAGAAAGATGCCACTAGTACTTCAACAGATAAAAGAATGGCTATAGAGGGAGCTCTTTTGCGTGAGACAGTTAGGCAACCCAATGCCTTGGTGAGATGGATCGACGGCGTGCAGAACATTGCCAATGTTTTGACTAAGGCAAATGCCGAGAAAGAGAGGCATGATGTCGCTGGTTCAAAGGGACGAGAACAAGATTCTCAAAGAGACCAAGCGCTTGCAACGTCAGAACAGGAATGTTAAGAAGCAGGCCGAGAAAGCTTCAATGAAAGTTGACAGCCAAAGACGACAACAGCTAGCAGCTGATATTGAAGCCAATGATGATGGCCAATCCAGTTCAAGCCAAACAAAATAAGAACGAGTGTGAGATTCTCCATGAGATTCGCTGCTCAGGTCATTGTCTTGAACTTTGTGCCGCCCTTTCAGGAAGAACCGGCCCAAGCGACGGGAGCCCATGCACGTTGGCCAGAATAGCGATCGGTCCGTTCAACCACTAAGGCATCCAGCAGAACACAGCAAAGCACATGCATTACGGCATAACTACCACAGGTTTCACTTCAGTTACTTTTGCATCGCATCATCCATTGCGAAAAGGGGCCGAGCTCTGCGCCAGTTGCATTTCCGCACTTAGTTCTAAACCAGAACATGTGGAGAGGGCGAACGCTGCGAGGACTTCCTGAAGCGCAAGCTGCCGCCATATCTGCACTTTTGGCCCTGGCGCCCCAAAAAGGGTCAGCAGGGGCGGGGGGGGGCCTTTTTTGAGCCGAAAGCATTTCGGAAACATGACAGGTGCCAGTTTTGTACCATGACATGCACCTGTAACCCTGGTTCTGGTTGACCCCGGGTCAAATGAAAAAAATCCTCTATCAGGGATGTCAATTTGACATCCCTTATAGAGCTCCAGGTGTTGATCCACAGCCACATGTTCAGCCAGGTCTCGAGGCTTGATGGTCGAAGCTGGAGCATTGGCAGTGCTGCCTGGCCAAACATGACTCGTAGACCTCGGTAGAAATCGTAGATACGGTTTCCCAACGGTTTTTGGAACGTCTCTCTCAGTGAAAACCAAGGATTGCTCACTCATTCAAACAGCCGGACAACTTCGACGAGCAAACAAGGTGTGTTCGCAGATTCTGATGACGAAGTCTTTATGCTAAACATCCGCAGGCTGTGCCAGCTTTTAGTGGCAGTGCTCCAAGGTGACTCAGTGCAGGCTGGGTGACTCCAAGGAATGTCCACTCTGAATAGCGAAGCTTCGTGTTCTTTTTGTGATTAGCGGCATTTGGATGCATTGGGAATAGGTCGAAGGTCTAAGCTTGAGTTCTTTGTAGCCACTTTGGATTGCAGGAAAGGCTGCCGCGAGTGTTGATGGTGGTTCAGTCACAAGACACAGTGCTGCTTGGCGCATCATAGTTTCTTTTGTCAGTTAGTTTGCGTCATTTTGAGTGCTGAACACAAGTGCAGACTTTAGATTTGAGGAAGTGCATTTCTAAGACACAATTGATTTGCTTTCCGCTAACGTATCACGTGGCTTGAGAGTGCAGACTTGTCATTTGGCATGGGGAAAACATTTGGAGTAATGTCCTCTAGCTGTATGTGCTGTGCTCTTCGGGCTCGCGTTACTCAGTAGACGCAGTAGACCCCATCAAGACCTCCTATCCCAAGACATCTGAAATACTGTTTTTTTTGCAGCTTGAAGCTTCATCTAGCTTATTCAAAGCTTTGCTCTGGGAGCAATGAAACGGTGTGAGTCCACCACAGGGCCCTTCAGTGCATCCGTTTGTCTAAAGTTACCTATGCCTATGCTTGATATTAATCAGTTAAGTTATATGTATATATATATATATTTATATGTATTTGTGTATCCACGCGTTTGTCTAATCTGCCTATGATGTCAGCTTAAGCGGTAGCAACTGCTGTGACCCCTCGCGCCCTGCGGGACAGAAGAAGCCTTTGCAATAAAAAACAACAGGATGCTGCATATCCCTTGCATCAGCGGCATGTTGAAGCAACGTTTTACCCCGTCTGAGCCTTTCTTCTGATCCGCTCCCAAAGCTCGTTTCATATTTTGCTGAAAGATATCCGAATAAAATTTCCGATTGTTCAGCGGCACCGGACATGAGCAGGCACTGCCAAGAAGCAGATTACATCCTTGAGCGCTGTTTCTTCGTGCCATGTGAGGAAACGGGAGCGACATCCGGGTTTTTAGTATAGGTATAAGTGTGACCAGAAGATTTGACCGCAGTCACAGCAGGAGGCATGGCATGCCCTGACTTCGTCCTGTCAGTATGCGCCAATAATTCAACGTGCTTCCATGAGAAGTTCTTGATTCTCTGCAAGTTTCTTTACAGGGTCCAGCAAGAACATCATCTGCACAGCTTGTTCGGATTCAGTGAGCTCGAGAACCAAGGTCTGGCTTACTCAGCCTTCTTTCGAGCAGTCCGGAAGGAATCCTGCAGGCTGGGGCTGGTTGTTGTTTGTTCTGTTCGCGGTGCTCATGACTCATGACTCATGACCAAGGCCGCTTCAGCCGTGGCATTAATTTCTTGCTGGGGCCCTGTCTGTTACTTTTCTTCCGCTGTGGCACATCCTTCCACATCATTCCGATGAACTCGCAGGCAACAACACTTTGAGAACACGCTTGATCGAGGCATTGGGAACACGTTTCTGAACATTGTAATGGGATGTAATGGGATGTAATGGCATTGTAATGGGTTTCTGAGCCATTTTTTCGCCAGCGCCGCTGGTTTCGCAGGTCGGTGCTTTGGTTGCGTTGAAACAATTGCTGAGTCATGATGACAGCGCTGTCGTGGAGCAGGCCGTTTTGCTCAGTAGGCTTGATTCCACTCGCTGAGGCACTTGCTACAGACAACTAGAATATCAAGAGTCTTTTTCCCATTGGCCATTGTTTGTTGTTCAAAGGTAAGGGGGCGTTGTGGCACGTCCCAAAACTGGTTGAAGCGTGACGGTTCTTCTTAAAATGAAGTTATGCACGAGGCCTTAGAAGCTACAGCTGCTCTTGTCACCCTCGACCGGGGTGACCCCAAGGCATTGGAGGTTTGCAGGGTGAATGGATTGGATCAAAGAAACGTATGGAGAAGCAGAGGCATTGAAGAAAGTGACGATGAAAAGGTTTACAGCATTCAATTTAAAATAAATCTAGAGCTTAAGTTTTCCTAAAAGTCTAGAAAGCCAAATCATTAGTGCGAGTGTGAGCTATCCTGCGTCCTAGGTAGTAGCTTCCTGTAACTACTAGCTACCTCTCCCTTACTTAATAGGTAGGCACCCACTGAATTAAGTAGGGAGGGGGCGAGCGGGCTAAAAGAATAAAGATCAGAACCATCTAGGTGGAAAGCATTCATTTGGTTCTGCAAGCCTGGGCAGGAGGGCGAACCCGTTTTTGAACCCACTGTGGATATGGAGGAGATGCTCTGCGGTGCGCCATTGATCATTTCTTGCCTACGTTTGTCCTGTGTAGAACCATTCTTTTGCAGGTGAAGTCTCCTTGGTGGTTCATCAATTGCAAGGCCAACTCCCAAAAGCTCAATCACAACCCTTGATGCTTGATGTGTCGCATGCAGGTGCCACAGAAGAGATTCGATGCGCCGCAAGCCATGTGGTCTTTAAACTTGCAGCACGGGGTGACATTGAGGCAGACGAGCAAGAAATCACCTGAGTCAACTGGGTGTTGTGTTTGCAGCGATGCCTGTTTGCAGATGCCTCTGCGTGCGGCTGAGCCACTGCCGGCTTTGGTGTCCTTGATCAGGGTCCTTTCCTCAATGCATCCAATGGTAACCCGGTTTGGTTGCGCTTTGGGAGTTTGGTTTACATACTCTCCGTCCAAAATCCAGAGTTCTAAATGGGCCTGTTGAAGTACGCCAAACGTGTACTATTACTATCACTCGATAACGTTGCCGAACTTGCATATCAACAATACCGTGCTAAAATAGACCTCTCGCAGCAGTGTTTGACTTTCTCGGAATAGCAAGGGAACACTCCAAACAATTACAAAAAGTAACTAGAGCCTGCTATAAATTTATACATATGTATACACACCCATATCCACCCATCATGATGATCAGCAAGCTTAACAAAGTCTTTTGGGTGTCCATCATTTGAACGAGCCGCACAGTCAAAGACCCTATGGTGACATTGTGATTTGATAGAGAAGTTTTGTCAATTTATATAGAGGAAGACGCAGTGTCCGTTCTGCTGATTGTTGGTAGTGGTCCTTCGAGTCGATGTTCCATTTTCTGCACAAGCCATGGAGGAATGTTTGTCAAGCAATTGAGCATCTCATCCCTCCTTTTGGAATCCTAGCAGTCCTAGCAGTCCTAGCAGTTAAGGAGTCACTCGAAGGAATCTGAATGAGTTCAGTTATGAGTTGTCACCGATGTCACCATCACTTCCCATAAGTTTGGCCTTGCAAATGCTCCCGCCTGTGCCTTTGCCAAGGGTGGCACAGCCAGGACCAGAGCTTGGGCTGCCAGTGCGTTGAGGAGGGGTCTGTGGATGGAGATGAGGATCCAGATGATGTGGGTAGTTGTTCTTTGACCCTTCTAGTATACAATGGTATGTTGATGTTTGGCAGATGTTGATCTATTGTCTATTGTTGATTGGCGTTGTATGGTACGGGACAGTGTTTCTAAATTCCAAGAGCTTCTACTTGATGGTCACGAGGGCGTGGCAATACGGTTCTCGTTCCAAAAGATGATCCAATGCGTGTCATGATCGAACCTTGTGTTAATTGGCAGCAGGCCACTGCTATCCCCTTTTGATTAGGGTCTCAATACCCATTGTCGGAATTGCCACCACTGGGAGGAAGACCCAACCCCGTTTTGAGAGTACCATGGCACAGGCCTTGATTTTATGACCGATAGCAGCATGCTCTCTTTTCTTCGGCAAAGGTGGTTTCACTTTGGCAGCTTTTGGAGCTGTTCGTTCAGGATTTCACCTGGAGGTGTATTGTTTCAAAGGGACCTTTTTGGTCAGCTAGACTCAGCTAGACCATGCCATCAAGGCTTTGAAGGGAAGCGCGACATGTTGCAGGTTACTGAGCACGACATCAGAAGCAAGAGAGACAGTCACACAAGCCGCCCACTCCTGAGACCGATGAGGTGAAGATGTTGCATGGTTGTTCCATGGTGGTGTGTGTAGCCTCCAGCGCATGTGTCGGTCGCCTTCAGGTGCCGATGGAAGCAGAAGGCAGAGAAAAGCTTCTTGCGCAGATCCGTGCACTTTGCTTCTGAAAACCTTGGGCAGCCTTCCATCACACATTCCCTCCAAAGGAGGTGCTACCTTCACACAAAGTGTGATTGTCACAGTGTGTGATCAGTCGGGCATTTTAAGCGTTAAGCTGCTTCAATAGCTCCTGTATAGACGAGTTTTGTGCTGGCCAAGGGTTAAACCAAAGCCCTGTCAATCTTCGGCCTTCGTGACAAGCATAGGCCATGACTTCAACCCTGAACAAGATTCAGGATAGCAAGCGTTGGAAAGGTCAGCCTACCTTGAGTTCTTTATGTCGGTCAGCCTGGCCGGCCGGCCATCACCTCTATCGAACTGCTGAATTAACGTTGAATCCTTTCATTTGTGATAGCAGACTAGCGCAGCTTTGTCAGCTCAAGCTGGCGCACGCATAGATCATCATTGTTTCCACGGCTGTGGCCGGAGGCAGCGCAGGCTCGTTTCCGGAAATCGGCAGATGTGGGGAGAATTGGCCGCCCGAGCCTTCTTGCATAAGCTGGTGTCCAATTATATTTATATGTAAATTATATATATGTATAGACTTGTTGCTTAATCAAAGGACTCTGATAAAATGTGTAAAATGTAAATTGAGTAGTTAAGTTAAAGGAGAGTTAGGTTAAAGACCTCATGCCCTGAAGTATCATGTGTGGTGCTGGGTCACCGATTGGGTCCCGGATTCTCCGTGCATCACCACGTCAGCCTTTGGCTTTGGGCAGTTCTCTCTCCTGGTGCAGTTGGCGGCAAGTTTGCTCCTGCCGACATGCCTTTCAAGCGGCCTGTTTGGAGTCTACTTTCAGCTGTCCTTCTACTCGTTACAAGCACCACTCGTTGCCTGGGATGTGACAAGTAGATAAACTTCGCACCTTGGCCGAGCACGCCCTAACTGGTTTTGCAGTTGACTGCACAATGGACATCAATGGACCAGTTGAGCAGCATTAAGGAGACAAGCTTTCAGATCACCTACACTTCTGCTTGCCATGTGGATTCCGCGCTTCTCGAGCCATCGTAAGAAAGTTTTGGGTCGCTGAGTCTTGGGGCCACTCTTGCAAAGCGCAGATGTCTCCCTGATGCTTGCCTTATTCCTTGTTAGTGGATGAGGGGTATTTGTCCCTGCGAGAGCATTCGATGTTGTTTCTTGGCTTATCAGGTTGTTTGTTTCTCTTTGTTATCTCTTTCTCTTGTTCTGTTGCTTTCCCTGTATCTGTTTTTGATCTGTCTCTGTCTCTGCCTCCCAAACTCTAACTCCTCTTTCCCTCCCTCCCTCCCTCCATCCCTCCCTCCCTCCCTCCCTCCCTCTCTCTCTCTCTCTCTTTCTCTCTCTCTCTCTTTCTCTCTCTCTCTCTCCCTCTCCCTCTCCCTCTCCCTCTCCCTCTCCCTCTCGCTCTCGCTCTCGCTCTCGCTCTCGCTCTCGCTCTCGCTCTCGCTCTCGCTCTCGCTCTCGCTCTCGCTCTCGCTCTCTCTCTCTCTCTCTCCCTCTCCCCGCTCTTTGTTTTTCTGTCTCATCCTCCTCTCTCCTTTGCCCTTCTAGGGAGTTTTTCGTAATCTCTTTCTTTTTTCTATCTTTTCTCTTGTCTCTTCTTTACTTTGGCGGAGGCCTTTCTGTTCCTCTTTTGTTATGCAAGCACCCTTGTTGGATTAATTGAAAGTCTGTGGACAAGACCGTGAACATGTCAGGATTCTGTGTTGCAGCCCAGCTTGGGAGTCGTGTTGCAAACCTGATGCTCACTTGTGAGCATCATGTGGCTGGGATGCCAACTTCACGATCCAAAGCCAACAGAAGAGGGTTTATGTCTCTGCTGCAAGCCAGGCCAAGCCGATGTTGCGGAATGACGGGGTGGAGGTCTGTAAACGAGTTGTGTTTTGTGCACCTTTGAATCAACCTCGACAGACATTGGAATGGGAGGAGTTGCGAGACGTGGCAAGACGTGGTTTTTTCTTGGTGCTGCATTTGGCTCAAGACGGCGCTGCCATGTTTTGAGCCTTGTTACCGAAGAGCACTTTCATGGCGGACAAGCCTGCAGGCCCCTTGTTGTGTACTGGTTCATTGTATGCAATTTCGGGGGGGCGCGTAGGAACTGATCCAACATAGGCCTTCTCCGACCTCGTGTGCTAGTCAAGCTGCGAACTCTGGAACAGTTCCAAGGTTTACTCTTTGTTTCCAACATAGGCCCTTTCTTGCCAAGTTTTATGGTGGACGTACTGTCATGCACTCTCATGACTCAAAAGGTTTGGCAATGAAACCAGATTCAGAGGTTTCAAGAGAAGAAAGACAGTTTCGCAAATTCTCAAAACAACACTCTCGCAAAGAGTCAGGAACCGGTCAAAACGAACTCTCATACGAGACTTCACGAAAAGTGGCAAATGCCAGTTCTCAATGTCAGTGCTTTTCCACTTAAAGCATCAAAAGGAGTACTTTTTGCAAAGTGTATGAGGACATCATTTTCCACACGAAAGCGCGAGATGATCTTCCTCTGGCCTTGTTTTCATCATGTACTTTTAACTTGTATTTTGCATAGAGCTGGTTTCACCTTTTTGCAGTGCAGGTAGCTCTGTGACCTTCAATGTTAGGGCAGAGACCAGCTTCGGTGACAGACTCTTGCCGCCTGTCTTCAAAGTTTTTGGGAGCGATTTGGTGTTCGACTCCGGCTTCGAGCAAGGCTCGTTGGCAGCGACGACGCTCTGGGACGGTGGAATCTGGATGAGTCCGTGGAGCTCACGACGACCGAGAAGGACTGAAAACGGAGGAACTCTTGGCTTCTTGCCGTAGCGTCCGATCGCTCCTAGTAGCGATGCCAGGAGCCCCTAGTAGCTTCTTGCTACTAGTAGTACTACCAGGATCGCCCCGAGCAGCTTCTTGCTCCTAGTAGCGATGTCCTTTGTTCCTGGTAGCTTCTTGCTGCGAGGGGTTTTCATTTGCCCCAGTTGCCACGGGGTTTGGAAAGTGGACGACAGGACTACCCTCTATGGATGTCGAAGTCGATCGAGGTTCTGGAGCCGACGGAATACAAGTATGCGACTTGGTTTGGTCCTGGGATTACTTGCTGCATGGATTCCGTATGGCCAGCTTTTTAGCAAATCTTCCCTCTCACAAACCCATTTGGTGAACGACTCCGACATGGAAAAAACTCGGCCATCCACCCCACCCCACATGTTGACTCATTTAACAACGTTCTTGTTCTTGCGACTTGTGTCTTTGACCTTTCCAAAAGTGTGATCTTTGAGCTTTGTCATTTAATCTTTTCGCCCTTTCGCTCACACCTTGCATTTGTCTTTCAACAGGTGCGCATGCGAGGAGATGGTGAAGCGGTTTGGGACTCTTGTCAGAAGATGGGACAGTGCTGTGTGGGCAGAAGATAGAATCATATGTAAATATATTTGTATACACATATATATATATACATACACATACATGGCTTGCAAATTAGGCAGATTGAAGGAGTCTTTGCACCAAATCATTGCTATGCAGGAAAGGTTTCAATGTTGCACTTCCTGAACTGAAGGAGTTTGATGGTGGGAATCGATGCATTTCTCCTGCGGACTTGAGCACAGCCTCTGTCGTTGTAGACGACGGCTTCTTTGGTTACGCATCTGCAATCAGCCCCTGCAAAAGATATTTTTCTGTATTGGTTGGCCTACCGGAGGTATCTTACTGGGATGCAGAAGAGCTTGTGCTGCAAGAAAGGGTTGTCGCTTCAAGAGCTGCTAGGTCACCTGAGCACCTGCAACGTTCTTCTGGAAGCCTCCTTTTGCATGGAGATTTTTCTTCTCCTTACCAGACATGAGGTGAGTTGATTGGAGAGCACTTTTCCTATCCTCAGGCCGGTGTGTAGGGGCATAGAAATACTTGTTCAGCTTTTACTTGAACACGGCAAGGCGTTTTCCGAGACGACCCTCCGTGGATCCAGCTTCAACTGTGAAGCTTCCACAGGTGCTTTGCAGTTGCTCAGCCAAAAGAATTCATAGTTGCAAGGCCCACACACACACACACTCACACACGGTTCAAGATACTGTAGCCCTCTTGTTTGTATATATAGAGGCATCAGTAGTGATTCCACAACCTACTTGATCCTCTTAGCCCTTGGCCTTTACTGGCAACATTCGCCACTTTGCAACTTTCTCACCTTGTTTGTACGATCTGTGATCTGAGCCACATTTAGCTTCCATCGACTAGACTAGTCTTCCTCCTCACATACGCACAAATTGAACAAGGAGAGGGGACAAGCCTTCAACTTTTGACGATACACACCTACAGAGAAAAGGAGTTGAGCTTCCTATGTCCACCCCGGATGCTTTCTTTGCACTTGTATGCATCCAGATGGCCCCTCGTCTCACCACAAGCGATGCCTGTGTTGCCGTTGGCTCTCCCTCGCTGCCAGCCTAGGCTGGTCGTGGTCGGTGATGATGCAGCAGCTGGTCATGGAGCAGATGGCTACAATGGCTGGGCTGCGCAGCTGGGAACATTGCTGAATCAACAGTACGGAGCTGCTCTCAGTCTCATTCTGTTGCATGTTCTTCTTAGCCTTATACCTTCAACGGAGGATTGCCCCACCAAGGATATGGCTTCAAAAATATGTCTGAAATTGGATTGACGTTGCAGGCCTCCCAAGAATCCTTGCAATCATGGATGCAGTATCAAGTGCAATTGCAGCCAGTCTCAGTGCAGATGCCAGTGCAGATGCTCAGAGTTGTATGGTGCGCTTAACTTAAGCCGCTGAACCACCTATTCCAGTGTGCTGATTGTCTGCCCTACTTGGTATAAATTTGTACAGGCAGGCAGGTACTTTTTGTCGTTGTCGTCACAACATCAGCCACCGCGGCAGCCACGACTTTCAACAGCAACACGGGGATGGGGCACTGCCCCAATGACTTGGGAAGTGACTTCAACAATCTTCAACAATGCCCCTCAGCAGTTCACGAACGCATTTGCATAAGGCCTTCCAGGCACCCTGATTTGCGCATGTCTTGAACTTAATTTGCGAGTCCTCGCTGTGAGAGGATTTTCCCTGCCATCCAGTACAGATGACAGACTTAGCATAGCACAGTTGGCCACTGGATGTCCCATCTGAAATGTCGGAGAACCCTGTGATCCCGACAAAGCAGCACTTCCACCGTTGCAAACCAGCAAATGCCTTCTTTGTAGCTGGCCGCTGGGCCGCTGGGCATCCTATAGGATGCGTCGCTGTCAAAGCAAAGTGGGAATCGTAGAAGGGAGCCGGATGCCCAAGTACTCTGACTGACGGCAATCATTTGTTCTTGGACCAATTGCTGGATCCCCAAATTGTCAGCTCGCGGCCAATTGAGTCACCATTATTGAGCATGTGAAATGTGCGCATGGTGGCTAGCGCGCACTGGCAGGCGCTAACAACACCGCAGAACTTTGAGGGTTAGATGTAAAACATTTATTTTCATGAGCCTCAAGCCTTCCGCTTTGTGGAGGAAGCATCGAAGAGGGGCCTTGCGAGCATGCTTCCGAAACCACTTCCAGAGGTGCGGATTGATTATTTTCTGCGTGCGTTGGGTTTCTTTACTCACGTGTTAGTTATGAATGACGCAGAGCCGCTGACATTTTGCCGATAGGTTGTAATCATTTCTTTTGGCTTAGAGCTGCGCTGGCTGGCCAAATGCCCTGAGACTTTGGCCAAAATGATGCCAAGTATGAAAGTATGAAAACACATGGTCCGAAGTTGGACGCTTGCTTGTTTTCTTCTCGGATGCTTTGAGGATTGGGACAGGGAGACAATTTATGACAACACCATCAAGGCAATGTGCAGAGGCCGAATGCAAACAGACAGCCCAATATGTTTTTGCGAGGCCTACACTGCCTTGGCTGCAGAAGCTTGGGACCTTGCAATCATGCCAATCTTTGGTGGCTTGTGCCCTCACAACGACTTCGCAAAGGTGCAGGACGCTTGCTCGCCAGTTTGAACAAAGCCAAATTTCAGCTTGGGAATCAAAGGCATTACAAAGCTGATTGATTTGATTGATGCCTTGTTCCGCCAGGTTCTGCTGTTCGGAGGGTTTTTGCTGTTCGGGTTCTGCTGTATGCTGTGGTGTTGCTGCTGTGGCGTTGGGGGGATGCTTGTAGGTGTTTGCTCGGGCGACTAATGTCGATTGCGGCAGTGATTTTCGATTGAAGATGTCAGCCAGTTGGGTTCTGGATCCAGATCTCAAACTCACAGTGTGCAATATGCATTCTCTTGAATCCTCTTTCAACATGTTTACTCATGCTTGACCGTTTTCAAGAACAGGCCGAATTCCTCCGAAGAGCTGATGCAGAGATGAAGAAGCAGGGAATTCCAGTGCTGGACTGGTTGCATGCACTCAGCCCAGGTGGCGACAAATTTGGGACCATCGGCTGCATTGAGCACTGGATAGTAGCTATTTGCTTGAAGGTTGCAGACAGGATGAAAGTTGGGAAAGAGACAGTCTGGTGAGTTGGACGGTTCAACTGGAGCACGGGGGGCCTTTGTAGAATTCAGCTTGCCAAGTAAGTAGAAAGGGGGATGCAGGGTGGAGGGTTGCGTGCCAGTCAATGGGCTTTGCTAGTAACGACAAAGCAAGTCTAGAATCAAAGCAGCGGGTATGAGGCCTGGAGATCGAAACAGCTTTGGCATAGCTTTAGAATGTCAGAGCTGACAAGGCTCAGTGAACTTGCACCTCAAAATGTTTGTGCATATCTTATTGCGCTAATCTTGCCTGCACATCTAATCGTAGAGTTGGCCACAAGAGTGTGTGCTTGGCAAGCCGAATGCGTGTGGGTTCTCTCCCTCAACCTTCACATTCTGGCACACGGGAACGTTGGGCATCCGGGGACCTTGAGCAGCCCGTGGGTCCCGGTAGTCGTCATAGTGCAATTTTGGCTGAAACTCCAGCGCGCTGTGCCGTGTATGTAAAGTCAAAGGCGAATCTTTACCAAGGATTTGGGCAGACAACCTTGCTTACAGCTCACTGTATCCAAGCACTCGTGGACATCAGAGAATGCTGTCGTCAATTGATCTGAGCATTTTTGACCCACTGAAGGCGTGGGCGTTCTTTGAATGCAATCAGATTTGGTGTGGAGGCTTTTGCAAGATTGGGTGTGGAGGTCAAAGACTTGCTCCAGAAGAGACGTGCAGAAGAGGAGGAATTGTGGCGGCTTTGCTTCAAAGATGGAAGGCGTCTTGGACCCAACGTCTTGGGAGACGGCAGTGGGTCATGGCTGAACCGATCCCTCTGTAAGGGATGTCAACCTCCCACCGTTTGGTGGATGAGGTTTTGACTCAAAGCCATATATATATATATATAAATATATATAAATATATATATATAAATACACAATACACAATACGCTCACGTCGTGAACGACGCCGTACGGCGTGAACGTATGCCGCGCTGGTGACTGTGAGGGGGCTCGAGATCCACTACTGTTCGGCTCGGAAGGAGTTGAAGGCACCTCGGCTCTGAATTGGGTGTTGGAGTGGCACCTTTTGGGATGGAGGTGCTCCATGGTTTGCCAAAGGTGTCGTGGAATGTTGGAGTCCTGTGCTGACTGGTCAGGTTGACAACCTGACGGAAGATGAGCGTCTTGTCATAGCAAAAGCTTGGCAATGTCATGGAGCTTGTGCACTTAGACATGCACAAAACCGATTGAGGTATGACCTGAATCCTGGATGGAATGAGATGCAAGCGAGCCTGGCTGCTGTATTCAGAGAGGCACCCTGGACACTGAGAAGAGGCCTCCATGTAAGAAAGGAGGAGAGCGCAGCGGGCGCAGCTGCCTTTTCATTGTACATAGGTGAGGCACTGAGTGCTGCGCTACGTTGGCCAACCTGCGCTGCGCTACGTTGACAAACCTACAATTTTCACTGAGGTGAATCGGGGACGATCCAGTCCTGCGCCAAGATTCCGGCCAAGTGCTGCGTGGCTCGGCAGCAAGGTTCAAGAGGAAGTGGGAGATGCAGCTTGTAGCTGGGCGAAGCTATGTAGGCTTTAGACCTTGCATTTTGACTTGCTGTTCCAGACTGTGATTATATATATTTTTTTGTTCCTATCCCTATTCTTCCGGAGACATACGGAGCAAAGGAAAGGGAAGCAACAAGGGAGAATCCAAGAATGCGAAGAAGCAAAGAAGAGAAAGAGCAAATGTGCAAAGAGTTTGCGCATCGCATCTATTCATTTTGAGAAGACATTCCGTTTGCCTTCCGGCCCTCCGCGTTCCTTTTGCCCAGGTGACATATGGACTCCTCGACCCGAAGTTGACCAACTTGCCCAAGGAAAGCAGCGTTCTTTTCCATGACGACAATCTTTTGTTGGTGAAGTCTGCGAGGGGAAACCTGCAAATCTTCAACCGAGCAGCCTGACACTCTGCCAAATCAGATGTAATTATGTAGATTTGTCGAACACACGTATATGTATAACACATAAGTATGTTATTTAAGCGACTTATGGACATGTGGATCAACAAGTGTAGATCCTTGCAAGTTGGAAAAACCAGTAAGCCTGATGCGAGGTGAGTACAATGTTCATCCAATGTGGTTTGACGTGCGGCAAGCAACGAAATCCATGCAGCACGGTGTCTATGAGGATTCCTCAGGAAGCCAGTGGTGCGGGAAATCGAAGGTAGATCATGTTGATTGAAGCTTTCTTGTCAATTTGCGAACTGCAGGACAGCCTTTCCGAACAGCGATCATATCTTGCCATGGCCTACAATCTCGGGTCAAGGTTCCTGCCAGGTCTGCGGTGGATCTCTCCAGAGTGGGTGACCTTCAATCCATCAAGCAGGTGGCTGCATCTTGGATTAACAAATATGATTTCACCCTTTGTATTGTCACTCTACCTGTAAGTATGAGTACATATACCTGTCCTATTGCCTGTGAGGGTCGGTCACACAAGCAAATCACTGTTTGAGAGAAAGGCCTGCAACTGAACCATCATCCACTACTACTAGCAATGACATATACCCAATATATATTTATATGTGTTTCTGTGTACATTTTCTCTATGGTTTCTGCTTTCGACCATATCCTGACAGCACGAGGTGCTGCCGCTCGGAGATCGATGTTCTGTTCGCCTCTCGGCAACATGATGACCTTTCCGCATGATGTTTGCCTTGTGTTGCAAGAACCAGTGCAAAGCTGCTGTAAAAGCTGCAAAAAAACCTTTGGTGTTTTTGGGAGGAATGCTTCTGCACAAGATTGAGTTCGATGGACCCTGCTATCCCTTTGATCTCACCAGTGCCCTGGCCCTGCTGGCGCCCACGCCCTGCGAACCCCAATCGTTGTCTCACCTTTTTCCTGAGGAACCACCAGCCTGGCAGATGTTGCTGATATGGCAGCAACAGGGTTTGAGGACATGTGGAATCCGGACTACTTGTACTACGACGGCGAAGTTGGCCGAATCTTTCACAGAAAATGGCATGGGCTTTCCTTTGCGCATGAAGTTGAGTATGAGCAGGGAGAGGATCCGGTTGGAAACTTCGCTCCAATCGTGGAACGGATGAGGACCCTTTGTCGAGTCGCACCTAGCAGCAGACTTGGAGAATCAATTCTGGCACAGCATGTAACAAGAAGCTACTAGGGGCTCCTGGCATCGCTACTAGGAGCGATCGGAGCGATCGGACGCTACTAGGGGCTCCTGGCCGTACTGCTAGGAACAAGAGGACGCTACTAGGAACAAGAAGCTACGTCAAAAATACCGCTTTTTGTTGACTTTTTTCGGCCACAGGAAGAGATACACTGGCAGATCTGCCCGCTTCGATTGGGCATGCAAGAATGCTGATAGCGTCCTCTTTGTCCGTACGGGAGTCGCTTCAAGAGCAGAAGTGTGTGATTTACTGCAGCTTGGTTTGTATAATGTTTTCAATAGACGAAGTTCAACAAAGTTGACCGAGTGGCCTTTCATGGTCTTTCGGATTTCGGCCTTTCGGAAACGGCTTTTGAGAGAAAACAAGACCAGTCGGAACGCAGCGATCGTTCATATAAGTTATTGCAGCCATTTTGCATGCCAAATTAGAGGCGGGTGCGGAGGGATATGCTGATTTACTTTCGCTGCAACTGATAATTAGATTGGGGCATACAGTACAGTAGATGATAGCAGATGCTTTTCTAATGTGTCCAAAACGTTTTCCTTTTGGACGTTTACTTCTGCGCTCTTTGCCAGCGTCCAGGTCAAGAATGGAAGAGCGCTTCCCTGAACTTGTTGTGACTTGGTTGTGCTGTAAGTTCTTTGTAGACATTTCAAGGTTTCGTTTTCGCATGTTTTTGCATGATTTGTCCAATCCAGGCCAATCTTCTTCTGATCTCAGAGCAAGAAACTTCTGAGTTCTCGGGCTTGGAAAAGGTCACGCACGTCCGGGAAAGCTTCGATCCGGACAGGACTGCCCGAGGCATACTGTACGCATCAAGCAAGCAGAAGCATCCTGCTTTGGAGCGAAACAACCGCAGGATGTATGAAGATATGAATTACTGGATCAACTGCGCCTTGCTTCATTTGATGGAGCCTTGCAATTGCCCTTAGTGCCCTGTGAGTTGTGGTTGGTTGATATGTGCAGCGGACTATATATATATAATTCCATTCAAATTATATACATGTTTCATAGGTTGAGTTCAACGTCACAGAGACTTCTAGGTGCCCATCGCTTCCGCGGAATTCTAGAACGAGTGGGCATTAGTGCCCGAAATCTCTACTGGTGCCCAAACGACTTGAAGGAGGCAGAGAAGGACCGTTTCATGATGAGCTTTTGCATGCTTCGGAATGCCCCGAAATGCTCCGCACGCCAGGAGCGTAAAGCCTTTGAGACGAAAGATGATGAGAAAGAGACGAAAGAAAAGAAAGAAAAGAAAGAGAAGAAAGAATCGCAAGAGTCAGAAGGCGGCTATACGCCAAATACGCCAATGACATCCACGTCAGTAGCTGAGCAACTTGAGTGTTGTCAAGTTTGGGCCGACAGCCTTTATATAACATGAATTTGTATGCAAAAAGGAGGACACTTTTTTGATGAGGTCAGAGATTGCAAAGTTTTCCCATGCGAACCTCTACGAGCTTCACCAGGTTCAGCAGGCCCAGGTGGGCTTCATGCGAACTCAACACCCGCTGCAACCATGGACCATGGGAGCATGACTCAAAGCATGAGACCATGTCACAGTGAAGTCTCACATTGAAGGTTTGCCTTGAAGCGTTCCAAACTTGGCTTTCTTTCGAAAAAAGACTGTGCGGCCTCGTGTGCAGAACATGCGAGATGCACCGATTTTGTGTTGCCTAAGGCCAATTTCCAGGGAACCCAGACTTGAAGCCTCTTCCTCCGTGCTACCCGTGGTGCTGCCCGAAGCACCACCTATGGCACCACCTGTGGCTTGAGCAGCCTCACTTTTCTAATCTTCCAGAGACCAGGCTCAAAGGCTTCTGGTTTTTGTGAAAATTATCAGGCCAACTCCGTATCCGCTCTTCGCTCGTCGGGGATGCGCTGTGCGGCCCTCCTTCCTATATATAGCCAAGTGTCGAGCTCCACCAGATACATCCGTGACATCCGTGCCAAGCGCCAAGTAGTCTTCAGTTTGTACAGTGTTTTGAAAACAATCTGCGGAGCTTTGACACTTGTATTCGATTGCGCTAGGATAAACATTCTACCGCTCGTAGCTTTAAATTTTGCACGTCCTTTGTTCGGGCAAGGCGTTCCAGCAGAATGAATGATTCAAACCAAGAGTTGATGTTACCCAAGCTTCATGTTTCCTGTGTCTCTTATGGAATGCTTTGATCAGCCGTTCAAGAAGTGAAGGCAATAACAGATGGTGCAGTTTTCAAAGCTTGAGACCCTGTGGAAACCACTGAGCCCTCAAGCTTCAAGATCTTGCAAGGACAAGTACAAGTGTGTGTTTTTTCCCCGAAGGAATGCAAGACCTTCTCTTGTGACGCATGTTGTGGCCAACAACTGTACAGAGGACCAAATGGCAATGCTCGCTCCTGCCGCTTCGGATTAGAGTATACGCAACCAGTTTGGACCCAGAGTACATCTTCAAACAGATTCAACAAGTATATGTATCTTTTGGATCCTACAAGTGGGCCGAAAGGAAATCCTTCTTTGATCTTGACTACAGTCACAGCAGGACTGAAGTGGAGCATGTGATTCAGGAAAGGTAGCCCTAGGCTACCCTCATGATTCTGGCGGCTTTGCGTCCATAAATTTGTTTGGTTCCCTTTATTCTCTTCCACCTTCAGCGTGCCCAGACTTGTTTTGCGAATCTTTTCTGGTGAAGGTGACAGGAGAGGGAATCACCGTGCTTCGAAGAGGAAGATGACGGACACTTGCACCATACATTATTTAGACACTTACGCAAATCCTTACACATATCACACACGCACTGCACCTGCACACAAGCAGAGGCACATGTTCTGCTTTGTGAACTGTTTACAACCAATTCTAAAAGATATCCCCTCCTCCTGGCACACCCACGGACTCTTTCCCCAGTCCCTCATGTAGTGTGCGTCTTTGCATCCAAGCAATGCCTGCACTGGAATTTGCGTGATGTTCAGCAGGCACCTGGCTTAGTACTGGAGCAGGTGACAAATGCAACACCGAACCCAAGAGCAACTGTGGCCTGATGTGGATACCCTTACTTACAGACTTATAGAAATAGTAAGACTTCAAGGAACCTAGTTACTAGCGATGGCCTCCAACCTACTAGCGATGGCCTCCGACCGAATAGTAATTGCCTCCAACCTACTAGCGATGGCCTCCAACCTACGATGGCCTCCAACCTACTAGCGATGGCCTCCAACCTAAGAGCGATGGCCTCCAACCTAATAGCGATGGCCTCCTGAGGTGGATGTATGCACATAGTACCGCGCTTGCGCCAGATTTGCAATGGTCGGGGAATGTCACCCAAACCGGCGCGAGAGCAGCTCGGAGGGAAGGAGCCCTTGCAACCGGCAGAAGAGCCTACAACCTTGGCGTCCTCCATGCAGTGTCTCGTCTCATTGTTCTCAAACTTGCACTGGACGCACTTGCACTGGGGCGGGTGTGCACAATTTGCACGACTTGACATTCAGGCCTATTTTTGAAGGAGGAACCGGTCTGCGAGCACTCTCCGCAGAGGACAGCTGTCTCTGAACATGCAAGATCAAAGGCTCGAGACTCGAGACTCTCGCTTTATGCCACCTTGCTCTCCATGGCATTTTCAGTGCAACCCTTTGGTCAAGATTCTGTGATGTAACAGCGCTGCTGTTGCTGCAAAACTTCAATGCAGGACAAGGCCAGGATCGGCAAACTCATCAAGGCGCAAAGCTTCAAAGACTTAAAACTCAACGTGTCAAATCTTTTGTGTTCACTCCATTGTGCGTCATGACTCAAAGACGGCGTTCCACTGTTCAATCCTAAGTTGTCTGAGAACAACTTCGTAAGACTTCGTCTTAGTTGCCTCTTCAGACTTTGCCAATCTCAAAGTACAACTTCGACTGCAGCCTTTGAAGAACCACAATTTTTTGGCATCCTTTTGTTCTTGCAGCATACTACTTATTTCCTTCAAGCATTAGCCACATGAGCAGGTATCAAACCAGTATAGTAGTAGCCTAGCACTTAGAATATTTACCCTTTCACTTCACCGTTATAAAGAAATAGAGACGGAGGTCCGGGTGAAAAACGATGCAGATAGAATATCCCTATGCAGATAGAATAGTTCAACATGCACATAGAATATTATGCACCAACGGTTTTAGTATCTCTTTTTGAACACCGATTGATTGATGGCTTTATACTCTTGTCTTTCTGTTTGAATTTTTCAGATGCACAGTCGTTCCAACTGGGGAATATTCTAACTGCAAGAATGTAAGACCCAGTGGTTCAAGAAAATCAGGTATTCTAACTGCATACCCTTAATTTCTGAGTATTCTAACTGCTGGCCTTCTACTATAGGTTGAAGACTATCTTTCCACAAGCATCATGGCCACAAACAAATTGCAGCTGGACGTACATTCTGTTTTTCTGAGTCCACTCGGTGTTTACCATGCTCATTACACCGCCAGAGACGTTTGACCTAGCAATCACCACTTTGGCACTTGCAGCTGCTCACTATCCTGCGCTTCACCTTGTAGAAGTACACATGGGCACCCTCAACAGCAATTGCATGCCAAGAGTAAAACTTATGGGCATGGCCCTGAGCAACAGTGAAATCGGCTTGCGGCCTGAGTACGGATATGCAGTGTTCATTTCAACATGCATCATTGACATGGCCACTCGTCTCACCAAGAACCATAGAGTATTGTAGCAATCTTGGCAGTGACAAACAGTAACTTTCACAACATACTGAGAAATCGCACATCATCATTGTGTACCATCATTAGCGTGCAGGTTAACTTTTTTCGGGTGCATGATATGACTTTGTTGTGCACGGATAGTGTATTGATGGCCAGAAGCAACAGTGCAATCCACTTGCAACCCGAATAGGGATACCAGGGATGGCAACATCTATCATTATTGGCACAAGCCACTAGTCTCGACAATGATGTTCGACTGAGCATTCCATCAATCTCCACAGCTACTTGGCACCAGTAATTAAACATGATCATTGAGTACTGGGCTCATGTCTTGCGACTCCCGTGCATCATTGGCATGTTTCTTGATATTTTTGCTTCTTTTGTATGATATCATATCTACATAAATGAAGCACAAGTGGTGGACGCTTTGCTGACACTTCGTTGCGCAGTGAAACGTCCGTTCCATTCTGATGCCCTCGAAGGTGTTGGCCAAAGAAAGGCGTGACAAGGCCACAACACACATTGTTTCCTTTCCATGTTGGGATGCTGTTCATTCTTTGCCTCATTTCGTGGCACTTATGCTGATATTGCTTTCGACTTGTCTTTGCACTTTTTGAGTAATGGGGGCAGGAAGAGCTGCGGGAACAACTTGGACACCAGGCTTGCAGAGTGCAGGCGCAGCACGCAATCTCTGACAAGTGGCTGCAGTTGTTGCGAAGGGCATTTGTGCCTTTGAAAGCTGACCCTCTGACTCAGGACCTTGAAAGAGAGCGTGAAGTTAGCCAGAAGAAAGAGGCTGAACTTGTAGCACGTGCCCAACTTAGCGAAGTTTTCTTCATTTTTCGAAATGCCAATGACTTCAAAATGCTCTGACTTCAGCAGCGTACTCCAAAAGTGCACAACTGCGTGTTGTCAAATTCCTTTCGGCAGGCGTGGCACGCTCCCTCGACCTTTTGCGAACTTACCAGGTGCTTGCGTGAACTTGAGTAATTTGAGAGCAACATTGTTGCAACATGGCCAGCTTGAAGAGTGCCCTTTGGCAGTTGGAAGCTTCCGGCCGGAGACCAGGGCAAGGTGGGTGGGAACCATTGGCACATATTTTTGCAGCACTGGATCTGTCAAAACGAGGTTTGATCTTTGAAACTGATTTTTGAGATGCTGAAGGCGATCAAATGTTCATGGATAGCGAGGATGATTCAAAGGATCAGGCCACGGATACCACTTAGGTTGGAGGCCATCGCTAGTAGGTTGGAGGCCATTGCTATTAGGTTGGAGGCCATTGCAAACAAAAGAAACACATTTTGTTTCTTCTATTATTCTTATCGCGCTCGAGGCGGTGAGGACGTCACCGGAGCTTCCTCCTCTACCACAGCTTGGCTTTTTGAAACCTCAGGCGAGTTGAAAGACGACAAGTCCCCAGATGGACATCATTTTGTAAACCAGTCACAATTGCCGCACCAAAAGAGCTGATAAGGGGATTTGCATTTCTAATGATATTTGTAGGACAAACTATATTGACTGGACTGTTTAGTAAGCTTTGCAGCTTCCAATAGCTTCCAGGTCCTTCAAGGAAGCAATCTCCTCGGGACATTTTGCAGAGTGCGCAGCTTTGCAGCCACCTCCCCTCTCTGTTCCTACAATTCCCTGATGCTCGGCGCGTTGGTGGTGCAGGTGGCAGAAAGTGAGGGCCCTCCCTGCAACGCACTGCAAACTGCAGATCCTTTGCCATCCGAAGCTGTGTGGTGGCCCAGTCTCTCAAATGAGACAGAGCCTGGCAGACGCCTGGTCTTGGTCTTGGACGGGGAAGAATCGCTCTCTACCCAGCAAACAGTGTCGAGCCATGCAATCCCCTCGTCTACTAGAAGTGGCTGAATTGACAGCAGTTGAAAAGAATCATGTAGTTCATTCTCCTCTTTGTGTTTCCTCGTGCTCATGTGCCTCCAGACTCTTTTCGGCATTTGATTCATGGTCACATTTTGTCCCCCTTCCCTTTCTTTCGTTTACAACATTCGAAGAAATTGACTTCATCATAGATCCGACTACTGTAAATCTTTCGACATGGACCTCATTTTCTGATGGGAGATTTGTCCACTGTGACTCTCATTTCCGCGATTTGCGTCCAACATTGAGACAATCTCACGAGTGTCTTTGCAGCTGAAATTCATTGGGACCGGTTTTATTGCGGTCTACAATCTGCAGGCAACCCCATCCAAAAAAAAAGGCCCTTCAGCATTGCCTTTGTTTGAAGTTGATGCCTTGATCCCTGCTACTTCAAGAGGTTTATTGCAGGTTTAAGTTCAATGCCCGCACTGCAGGTCTATTGTCCCTCAATGTAGCCTCACTCACCCATCAAGTCCGTACTTCCACGCAACCTATGTCCTCGACAAATCGCTGCATGCATTTACTGCTGCCATTCTACAACACTGGAGTGGCAATTCATAGAGAGTTGCAAAGAGTCTTTTGGAGGGCAAGTACCGGCGACAAGCTGCCAAGGTACACAGTGCCAGGCAACCTGCAAATCCTCAGTTGGTTTTCGCACTGAAGCCTCCACAACTATCGCTTCTTCAGCGTTATCTTTCCATTCAGGACCCTGAACATCCTGGAAAAACCTATTGAGCAGACCTGTTTTTTTGACTGGTGAAGGATGGAGAAGCTGTGCAACAAGATGCCAAGAGCCCACGGCAGCTGCAAGTTCGTGCGGAGAGGCAGAACCTGATTGATCCTCACAGAATTGGAGTCCTAGATCTTGTCAGCTTGAAATTGTGTCAGAGAATGAATCAGGCAAGGGCACTGAAGGGTGCTTTGATACAGTATAAGCAGACGCTGTAAGAGATTGGCCAGCCTGTTCTCAAGAATCTTTTAAACACGGCCTTTTATGCGATTTGCTTAGCAGAGTTGAAGCTTGAAGGTCGCATGCGAGCAGCGCCAATGCTGCTGTCCAAACAGCAGTAGTGAACTCTTTCAAAAAGCGTTCAGAAGCAAGGAGTCTTTCACCACCAACAGCGTCGAGCCCTCAGCCCAAGTCGGCGCGAATGAATGCTGCTAGAAAAGAACCAGTCCAGTGAAGTTGCTTTGTTTTTTTATTCAACTAGTTATATAACAGGATTTGTTCTTGCTCATTTTGCCGCTGGTTGGCATGCATGTTGATCTTTCCGGCTTGGGAGGCCAGTCAAGGATTCCCTTCAAAGTTCATCCTGCCGTAGACTCCAGGCAAGGCAGTCAAACCAATCTGTTTTAACTTAAAATTTGTTGATTCTCTCGGAGTTTCATATATATATATACTGTATATAAGTATTGTTTTCTGTTTTTTTTTTTTTAAGCTTTGCTGCCCAATTGAGCGAGGGAGCGAACGAGAGAGAATTGTGCTTGGAAGGCAAGTCCTGGGTACGCATCCAAAGTCGGGCATGGCACTAAGATGACTCAGAAGACAGGGCTTCTGCCGTGTTAAACAAGCCTTCTAGGCTTTGGTCTCGTGGCAATCTGTGAATTGCTTGAGAAACTGTGGCAAAACAGTGCAACATAGCTATCAAGGAACATTTTGGAGGCAAGTGTGAAAGATCAATACGCGCACTTGTGCGAGTCAAGGGAACCCCAGAGACTTCGCTTGGGAAGATGGACACGGACTCAGCCACAGGCAGAAATAGACGTGAACTCGGGGGCAGCGCAATTGTTGCTTCTTTCCATTTTCTTTGCCGTGCCGGCTTGAATCGTTCGGCACTGGTGGAGGTTTTGGCCCGCCAACCATGTGCCATCAGAACTTCGCTTTAGTTTTCTGTTTTGATCAAGTGTGAAAGCCAAGAGCCCCCAGCACAAAGTATCCAGCGGGAGCGTAGGGCGGCCCAATTATGCCCTGATCCCACAAGAGATCCTTGCTTTCATAGATTTTTCAAGCGACTTCGCGAGCTGACTTTTTCCTCGTGATGCCCATCGTCCCCACGAACTGCGACACATGTCGGCCGGCTTGCACACGCGAAGGTGCCTAGTGTATATTAGTTTTATATATTCAAATGACAAATCCGACAAAACTTCGGTACATGTACATTGTCATGAGCCGCCTCAATAAGTATTTCTGAATTCTTGCAAAACCGATAGGGGCCAACCCTATACCAATGCCCTTTCTTGATTGAACGTAGCTTATTGCCTGCATTCCGGAAACCCATAGGGGGCATTGGCGACACCAAGAAGTTTGGTCCGCCGCTCACATTTGTATGCAGGGTATTGGAGGGGGGAGGGGGGGGCGTACCATATATAACAATATATACATATAAATCAATAAGGACAGACCTATATATCACGAAAGCTAGCGAAGCTAGCTGGAGTTACTCTTGCGATAGCAAGGTTTCTTTCGACCGGGTGCAAATCCTAACCCCTGATTTTTCAGGTCGAAGACCCCCCCCGTATCTTGCGGCCGCACTCGCTCACTCTCACTCTCACTGTCTCACTGTCTCACTGTCTCACTGTCTCACTGTCTCACTGTCTCTCTCTCTCTCATATCTCTCATCTCTCTCATCTCTTTCTCATCTCTCTCATCTCTCTCTCCTCTCTCTCTCTCTCTCTCCTCTCTGTCTCTCGTCTTTCCGTCTCTCTTCTCTCTCTTCTCTCGCAGGAGGATCCGGGCAAAGAGCCACATATAAAGGACTCTTCACCCCTGCCTCCAAAAAGAGCGCCGTGTTTTTTCCTACCTCGCTGCCCTCCACTTTCCCATTCTGGAGCGCTAGCTTTCGCCCCCCCCCCTTGGCCTCAAGTATATATATACACTGTGTATATATATACATACACATAGCGATATCTATGAGGTCTTTACTTCAAATAAGAATAAACTGGCTGTGCACGCTGTTGCGACAGGGCAGTCGGTTGACACACAAACGGTCGAACCGGTTTTGATCCCAGAGGGGATTTTGCATCGTTCCCCAGCGGTGCGGTCGCCGGGGTTGCTTCGGCGCCTTCGGTTCGGAAGGCGGAACCACTAACACCTCCGCAGAGGGTCTGGCGCTTGATTCGTGATGAATCTTGAATAATACTGAATATGTATATGTAGCTGTGTATGATATGTAATCATTCTGTGGCATGATAAAGTTTGCTCTCGTTGAGGCCAGGCGGAGTTTTTCAAGAACCCGCAGTATGTCTTCTGAGCGTTTGACGAGGATTGGCTGTGAAGACCAGTGCACAGCCAGGGGCTTTGTTACATTTTTTGGTGGCAATTCTTTGGGCCCAGGACTTTCGATGTGCCCTCGGAGCCTTTGCAGCTTGCATGAAAACAGTCAGAAGGCCGACTGAACATGTTTGCTGTAAATCGCCGAGGCTGGGCTCACCTCTTCCAACTGCAAGCTCAGCAAGGCTGGGACGCCAAGTGGGAGCCGATGCCATCAACGAGACGTGAGAGCGCTGGACTGACTTTCCTGTCGTCTACACATACATATGTATAAATACTCGCTAAACAATCAAATCTTGTTGGTGTCGTTTGACGGGCTTTTGCTATCTTTTGCTGCCTTCCTGTTGCATTGTGCAGTTGGCATTCGCTCACCTTGCAGGCAGATAAGGAACAGCCGAGGCTGGGGGAATGCTTTTTCGGATGTGTGCCTGTGCCTGGCTTTCGCTTTTCACGAGCGCCCTCGTAAGGACCATTGGAGAGTCTGATCCATTGGCCCCTTCGACTGGACAGTTACTACGCAGTTGCCTCATTTTGAGTCACTTGAGAAGCCTTTGAAATGTTCAAAGCCAGGCTCCACATATGTTTGACGTCATTGACTCGCTGGAATCCTCCGGTGGGGGAGAGGTGCTTAGAACGGCTATTCTTCGGTTCTTCGGCGTTGTACTAGCCTTTTCGGCTTGTGACCTTCCACCTTTCTTTTGAGAATTCTTGTCACATCCTTGCAGACATCTTCCGCACCTCCGTCAATATCAGAGGAGTCCCATGCCATCACTGACCCGCGCGCATTGATTTGTTCTCTCTTTGCAGGAGCTGCGGCGCTTGCAGCAAGAGCTCGTTTCCATCGAGAAGAAGGTATCTCAAGGCGAGGGTAGAGACGACACACCAACTCCTCAAAGCCCCGAAGACCGCGATTTGCCTTCTAACCGCGATTTGGACGAGAACCATCGCCGCCAACATGTCGATGTTGACATGTCGCTGTCATGACAGAATGGTTAGATCAATGAGGGTTTGAACTCCTGTGAGTCCACGAAGCTATGTTGCGAACTGCGGTGTTTCGAAACGGAGCGGTGACCTGTGATTTGGTGATTTGACATGTGGTGAAGTGTTTTGACACCATGCAGTGTTGTGAAGTGTAAATTGGTGAGCTGTGGTGTGATGTTTGGAGTCTAGAGTTGTGAAGTGGAATGTGAAGTCGTTTGTGGAATAGCCCTCCAATAGCAATCAGCCTCTCCCACTCTAGGCTGCGTTGCCTCCACCCGATGCTGGCCTTAAGTTCACTATTCCCACCCTATCCTGCTTTATTCCCCTATGAGTGATTTGACCAACCTGGCCTAATTCAACAAAGGAGCTGCACAAGCCTTCAGCTTCACTCAAACTCGTTCTTTGATATCCGAACGGGAACTGCGAACCATCACAGAAGAAACAAACAGCATTTGCAGGAGTTGTTTGTTGCGCAGTGGTCTTGATAACTGAGTAACGATCTGAACTCAGGAGACAGGAACTTAAGAAAAGGTAACTCGGTACTTAGATTGACAATTCGAGTGGCTATTCTCAGGTGCTATTCTCCTCTGCTTGCCTGTCAGAATCCCTTTAAACAGACAGGGCCGCTCTCGGCGGCCATAGGCCCATGGATGCGAAGCTGGGTCCGCCTCACTGTTTGTATTCACCTTATATAGGCATTTTTGAGTTTGCTGGTTTGCTGGTTTGCTGGTGGGCGTTTTCTGCTGTGCTGGTATAGATAATTGTAATTTCTCAATACACGAGTATCAGTCGTTGATAGTGTGCTCTCAACTTCACTCAATGTGATCCCCCTTCACAGCCCGCCTTCCAACGGGTCACAAAAGTATGCAGTAGACGCTGGCAGTAGATTGATAAGACCCTAAACTCTCCCATGACACTTATTCAAGCCATGACTTGATCTTGAATGTGCGTGGGTGGGTCACCATCAAACCGCTCTTTAGGCACAAATGCATTGAAAAGCTTTAAGAGATTTGAGTTGACAGAGGCCCAACAGCGGGCTCAGTGCGGGGCCGCGTGGTCAAAGAACAGGCCTTTGCATTCGCTTGTGGGACTTTGTTGCAGGGCAGTTCTTGTGGGACTTTGCATGAAAAAGAGCACCATGCTGAAGGCTCGGGGCGAGCCATTTGACCCCGATTGGCGTCCATTGGAGGCTTGTGAAATCGGACATCGCACATCCACGTGGCATCGCATTCAATGCTTTGCATGTGCCAGACTCTGCACAACATCAGCTTCAACTGCCTGGGAGAGACTCCAGGTCTTGCAGACAGCCCGCTAGAGGCAAGGGTTGAAGCTTGAACACCTTATCCAAAATGCCTTTTGTTCCTTTTTCTCCCACGTACATTGTGCTTGTATCTTCTGTCACTGATACTGTAAACATCCTCATTGGCATGCTGAAGGATACACCGAGAGCACAAGACACAACATGGTTTTAGCAGAAGCATTAACACAGATGGCACTTAAACATCCTCGCAATGTTCACCTTGGGCAAGTGTCCACTGGGAGCAGATGCAAGTCTTGTTTACTTTGTTTTTTGCTTTTCAGGAGTCCCAGGAGTTGTCCGAGATTGATGATGTTCTGCAGCTGCTTCGACACGTGAAACCCACATGACCAACGGCCAATGCCAGAAGTCTTCTTCGGACCCAAAGGAGCCCCGTCGGGGCCAACGTTCAGCCAATGCCAGCGAGGCACTTTGGCGCACATGGAAGAATGGAAGAAGCTGGGCTTCAGCAGTCCAGTTGAAGCCCTCGCCTTCAGTGCCAAAGCAGCACCGAAGGTTTGCAGCGAAGTGAACAGATCACACGCCATTGTCAGCTGCAGTGTGTGAAGAAAAGCATTGAAAGAACTGCTTGAATTACGGAGGTGCTAGTGCTAGCTGTCAACAACTCACCATTGTGCTAAGCGCTATTCAGAAGGGAGATGGGCTTGAAAGGAATCATCAAGCCGCGAAGCAGAGATTGAGAAGCTCGACGAACGGTCCGTTGCCTGGAATTTTCGAGCCAGTTTGATGCTTGCCTCAAGAACTGGCTGAGGTTTGGTATGAAAAAGGTATCACGAAGAGGGCAACTTCTTGCAACCTGGGAGGCTGGCTGCGGTTCAATTGAGCACATGAGCGTGATGTAACGAATCAGATGTAACCTCAGGTCGACGGCAAGAGCTGTTTTGAGGGGGCTGGTCAACCACATTTGGTGCATGAGACTCTTTAGAGCTAGTATGACTGTGTCGGCAAGGCACAGCCGGCAGACGCTGGCATTGGACGAAAAGATATTTGGGCCTGATCGTGACATCGTGCTTTCATTTCAAGGGTTGGGCCCCCTGCAATTGGCTGCCATCTATCGATACATTTGTGGAAGTTTCAGGGGAAGTTCCGAGTTACAAAAAGTTGTGGACAAGTCTGTCATGTGGGTGAGCGCGCGGAAAGGGGTGAATTTCTAGTTTCGGCGTGGCGCGCTGAGTTTGGAGGGTTCTAGAGTCTAGAGAAAACTATCGTACAGAGAAGAATAGACATCTCCACCTTGGGATACATTTCTTTAGAAATCTCTACCTTTGTATACTTTCTTGATCTATCTAGAAGTCCATACCCTACTTTTCTCAAATGTACTTGTCACTACTTTTGCGCAGAAGCCTCCACTTTTTTGATGCTCTGAGTGTTAGAAGAAGTTGACATGAGGCTCAAAAAGAAGGCCGTTTCGAGGAATTTCCAAAGATTCAACAGATGCTTCTGGAGCTGAACAAGACAAGTTTTTTAAAAGTGGAGATTTCTACAGAACAGTACCAAAAAGTAAAGCTTTCTGGGGAAACGTGTCCAATATATCTTGGAGCTTCCGCAAACCGCCACTGCGGGGATTGGCTTTGTGTTTGAATTTGTTCGCCAAGCTCATGTTTGTTTGCCTTGACTCACTTTTCATGTTTTCATGTCACTTTTTCCTTCCCTCGGTCTCCTTTAGTCTCTACCAAGTGGTGAGCTCTCAACAAAAGGATGGATGCGTCCGTGCCAGAGGGTCTTCGCACCAACGGCTTTTCTGGGTCTGACAAACCGTAACGGTCAGGCAATTCTGACAGACCAACGTTGAGCTGAAAGAGCTGGTCACAGGTCTGTGAGACCAGATTACGGCGGATTGAGAGTAGATGGCACAGACCCCAATGTCGGTGGTTTATATGGAATCCCATCTAAAAGACATGTTGGGGATTGTGCCATCTACTCTAAAACCACTGTAGCTGAAATTTGTGGAGGCCAGCCATGCACCAATGAGCGGCGGTTTTTTTTCCGACTGTACCGTAGCTCCTGTCATTTCAGCAACACAGCAACGAAAGGAGACCAAAAGGAACAGATGCCGTTGTGATGCCGTTCACCGAGCACATTCAAGCCGGCGATGTTTTTCAGAGTGAAGCATCACCGAACGTAGAGGGCTTACCGAACGTTGATGGGGGTGGATGTTGCGCTTACTACCCTTGAACTGGAAACAAGTGACCCCTTCATGGGCGGGAGCTCCTTTGCACGCAAGCTTTTTCGCTTTTTCTCTCCCTGTCAGCACGCCACTTTAACATCCTAGAATTCACAACGTGAAACGGCTACCACCACGTGGACAGCACGTGACGTGGAGATGCCCGGGTTTTCGTACGTTTCTTGGATTGCATCAAGTTTTTGACACTACTCTTTTGTTCAGTGAAGCCTGCAAGAATCATGCAATTTACAACTTCCTAGGTTGCCATCCCTCCCGGCAGCGAAGACATGCGACAGGCTCCAAACATGCACAAAAAGTATTGGAGAGGAATTGGAGAGGAATTGTTGCTTGCAGGTATATTTTCCATTCCCTGTGTCGCAACTGAATGACCTCGACTTCATCAGGGCCTTAAGAGGGGAACTTGGCAAGGAGGCTGGAGATGCAGGGTAATAGGTCGAGCCGGGATTTACCCCTTTTTGCTTTTCTGACTTCAGGCCTTTGCCATCGAGGGCCTGAGGTCCAAGCTCCTGGAGGAAGTTTCTTCCAATTTGGGAAAGACTTTGAAAGAAACGAGTTTCCGACCAAGCTCAGAAAGATAGACTCATGGAGGGTGTGACTTGTGGAGAATCATGCCATCCAAGTACTATCTTGGGGCAAAACCGTTTTGGCGGAAACCACAGCGGGCGGAATGGCGAAAGGAGCTGGCGACTTCTTCCACGACGAGAAGTGAGCTCCTGAGAATACAAGGAGGGATTGGGAGGTGGAGGCCATTCATCATGCGATGACGGCAAGTGAGCTGATTGAGAGATTCATTGAGCTCATTGAAACCAGACAAACCACGCCAAATCCATACCAATTCCTTGACTCTTGTCGTGAGATGTGCTTCTGAGGCTGTGGTGTTGTGAGGGACTCAGCTTACTCAGCTTCCAGAGCAGGATAAAGCTGTGGTGTAGTCTTCTGAGGCCAAAGCCAATGGAGAAAAGGAGATTGTGTTTCACGCGTGCCACACGGTGCGATGCCGTGCGGTGCAACGTGGTGTGATAGGATGTTTTCCTTGACTCGCTAGGAGAAAGTCAGGGAGAATTTGCAGAAGATCGACGATGAGCACCTTGAATTGCTCATGTCAATGGAAGCTTTCCAGGCTGGTGTGGGTCAAGGTGCAAGGTGAGCGTTTGAGGGCTAAACAGAGTTTCGCCAGGTAGAGATGCTCCGAGATCCTTCCAAAGATGTTGGTAGAAAGGACCGGATTGGTTTGCGATCATTTGCTCACTTGTGGTGAATCTTGAAGTCCTGCAAGGGTGTTTTCCTTTATCATGAAGGTAGAGCGGACGGCCCTGTCCCGTGCTTAATGGCAAATGGTTCTTGTGGGTGTTCTTTTGAATTGAACAAGTAAGTTGCTGAGCCAAGGTGAACGACAGGGCCTGTCGCTGAGAGGATGATCCACTATGTCAATCCTTATAACTTACATATATAATCATATATATATATAGATCAAACCAAGACCATCTTGAACGAGAAGACTCCACTTGAGAAGAGCGAAAAAACTTTACACTCAAATTGCAGCTTTCTCAGGCTATGAACCTGTGCCTTGCAGCCGGCTTCCCTCCAAAGGACAAGCAATTCAACCGAAAGCTTTTGACAAGAGCCTTTGGCTGCAGGAATTGCGAGGCACGTGCTTCCTCTCGCGGACGGAGGCATGGGATGTGGATACCGTGGGCTAAAGTTAAAGAATCGATACGAAGAGCAATTTTGGGTGCACAGCACGGGATCGGGATCTTCAAAGGAATTTGTGGAGCGAGACTCTGTGGATCCGATTTGGAGACGTTCTGCTCTCAGCGCTTGATGACTTTGTCTCAGGGTTGGTGATCTCCTTCCTGTGCTAGTTTGGGGCGAACTTCTGAAGCTCAGGTTGTGACTTCACTCTCAAAGATTGCAGCAATGATGCCGAGTGGCTGAAGGACAGATCCGAGTGGCGTACCCTGCGCGTCGCTTCAGCGACCTGATGAAATCCTTCAAGGATGCGCGTCGAGATCGTGAAGAGCGCGACCCTGATTCCAGCAGACCGAAGAACACAATTCTTTCACAGAGTTTGTAGTTCTCCTATCTTCTAAAGACCGAAATCTTGATGCTTCTGATGAAAAGACAGTGGCTTTGAAAAAACCCAAGGTCTGGCTTGAAGCAGAAGGAGGATGCAGAGTGGTTTACGTCCAAGTTATTCTTGACAGATATGTATTTGTCCTTGAATATCCTTTGACAATCCTTTATGTGATGGTTGAATCATTGAGATTGACTTTCACATTCAGGTTTTCATCATTGGAGGATTGCCAAGCCCCAATGGCAGAAGGCAAGTCTGACCTGTATGCCGGGCAGCCAAAATGGCCAACAAAACCATCACGAGTCCTGCGCTGAGCACCAGTCTTGCAAAATGGTGCCGAAAAACGAGCGAGGCCTGGAAGCAAACCGAGGAGGAGGTTGACATTGTCTTTGATCCAGGCCTTGACGCTTTCTGTCAAAAGTGAAGCAAGACAAGAAAGCATGCTTTCAGGGCCATTTGCTGGCATTCGGGCCACGAAGAAGGACATTGCGGTGAAGTTTTCCAGAAGGACGTGCGAGCTGTCGTGGCACTCATTTTACATCACATTCTGCTTGTTTCTCGGTGGGAAGATTCTTTCAGTCCCATGAATTCTTCACATGTTTAGCTACATTTACTGAGACACTTGCAAGCTGCCAAGAGATACTCGCCGATGGCAGCCACCAGCTTCATTACTCTGACACCCAACCTGGCCAAGCTTGAACATGTTGGAACCAATACAGCAGTTTACATTAGGAGCAATTTGCGTTGCCAAACGTAGACAAAGCTGCTTGAAAGCAGGGGTTCATGCATCGCACTTTTCCCCCCCGCAGGAGCCTGTTTGTGAGGTTGCGTGGGCGCATACTTTGCCCGGACGTTGAATTGGCTGCTGAGGCCCCGGACGATGGCATTCATCATGGGACATTTGGACAATGAAATGAGCTCCTAGTCCTTGCTCCTAGTAGTAAGGCCAGGAGTCCCTAGTAGCTTCTTCTCCTAGTAGCGATGCCAGGAGCCCCTAGTAGCGTCCTTGCTCCTAG